TATGTGTCCTATCACTATGTGTCGTATCACTATGTGTCCTATCACTATGTGTCGTATCACTATGTGTCGTATCACTATGTGTCCTATCACTATGTGTCGTATCACCATGTGATGTATCACTATGTGTCCTATCACTATGTCATAGCACTATGTGACGTATCACTATGTTTCGTATCACTATGTGTCGTAGCACCATGTGTCCTATCACTATGTGTTGTGTCACTATGTGTCCTATCACTATGTGTCCTATCACTATGTGTCGTATCACTATGTGTCCTATCACTATGTGTCGTAGCACTATGTGTCCTATCACTATGTGTCGTATGTGTCGTAGCACTATGTGACGTATCACTATGTGTCCTATCACTATGTGTCGTAGCACTATGTGTCGTAGCACTATGTGTCCTATCACTATGTGTCGTAGCACTATGTGTCCTATCACTATGTGTCGTAGCACTATGTGACGTATCACTATGTTTCGTATCACTATGTGTCGTAGCACCATGTGTCCTATCACTATGTGTTGTATCACTATGTGTCCTATCACTATGTGTCGTATCACTATGTGTCCTATCACTATGTGTCGTATCACTATGTGTCCTATCACTATGTGTCGTATCACTATGTGTCCTATCACTATGTGTCGTAGCACTATGTGTCCTATCACTATGTGTCGTATCACTATGTGTCGTATCACTATGTGTCCTATCACTATGTGTCGTAGCACTATGTGACGTATCACTATGTGTCCTATCACTATGTGTCGTAGCACTATGTGTCGTAGCACTATGTGTCCTATCACTATGTGCCGTATCACTATGTGTCCTATCACTATGTGTCGTAGCACTATGTGTCATATCACTATGTGTCGTAGCACTATGTGTCCTATCACTATGTGTCGTAGCACTATGTGTCCTATCACTATGTGCCGTATCACTATGTGTCCTATCACTATGTGTCGTAGCACTATGTGTCATATCACTATGTGTCGTAGCACTATGTGACGTATCACTATGTGTCGTAGCACCATGTGTCCTATCACTATGTGTTGTATCACTATGTGTCCTATCACTATGTGTCGTATCACTATGTGTCCTATCACTATGTGTCGTATCACTATGTGTCCTATCACTATGTGTCGTAGCACTATGTGTCCTATCACTATGTGTCGTATCACTATGTGTCGTATCACTATGTGTCCTATCACTATGTGTCGTAGCACTATGTGACGTATCACTATGTGTCCTATCACTATGTGTCGTAGCACTATGTGTCGTAGCACTATGTGTCCTATCACTATGTGCCGTATCACTATGTGTCCTATCACTATGTGTCGTAGCACTATGTGACGTATCACTATATGTCCTATCACTATGTGTCGTATCACTATGTGTCCTATCACTATGTGTCGTAGCACTATGTGACGTATCACTATGTGTCATATCACTATGTGTCGTAGCACTATGTGACGTATCACTATGTTTCGTATCACTATGTGTCGTAGCACCATGTGTCCTATCACTATGTGTTGTATCACTATGTGTCCTATCACTATGTGTCGTATCACTATGTGTCCTATCACTATGTGTCGTAGCACTATGTGTCGTAGCACTATGTGTCCTATCACTATGTGTCGTATCACTATGTGTCGTAGCACTATGTGACGTATCACTATGTGTCCTATCACTATGTGTCCTATCACTATGTGTCGTAGCACTATGTGTCGTAGCACTATGTGTCCTATCACTATGTGTCGTATCACTATGTGTCCTATCACTATGTGTCGTAGCACTATGTGACGTATCACTATGTGTCCTATCACTATGTGTCGTAGCACTATGTGACGTATCACTATGTGTCCTATCACTATGTGTCGTAGCACTATGTGACGTATCACTATGTTTCGTATCACTATGTGTCGTAGCACCATGTGTCCTATCACTATGTGTTGTATCACTATGTGTCCTATCACTATGTGTTCTATCACTATGTGTCGTAGCACTATGTGTCGTATCACTATGTGTCGTATCACTTTGTGTCGTAGCACTATGTGTCGTAGCACTATGTGACGTATCACTATGTGTTGTATCACTATGTGTCGTAGCACTGTGTGTCGTAGCACTATGTGTCGTAGCACCATGTGTCGTAGTACCATGTGTCGTATCACCATGTGTCGTATCACTATGTGTCGTAGCACTATGTGTCGTATCACTATGTGTCGTTTCACTTTGTGTCGTAGCACTATGTGTCGTATCACTATGTGTTGTAGCACTATGTGTCGTAGCACTATGTGTCGTAGCACCATGTGTCCTTTCACTATGTGTCGTAGCACTATGTGTCGTATCACTATGTGTTGTAGCACCATGTGTCGTAGCACCATGTGTCCTATCACTATGTGTCGTAGCAATATGTGTCGTATCCCTATGTGTCGTAGCACTATGTGTCGTAGCACTATGTGTCGTAGCACTATGTGTCGTAGCACTGTGTGTCGTAGCACTATGTGTCGTAGCACCATGTGTCGTAGCACCATGTGTCGTAGCACCATGTGTCGTAGCACCATGTGTCGTAGCACCATGTGTCGTATCCCTATGTGTCGTAGCACTATGTGTCGTAGCACTATGTGTCGTAGCACTGTGTGTTGTAGCACTATGTGTCGTAGCACTATGTGTCGTAGCACCATGTGACGTAGCACCATGTGTCGTAGCACTATGTGTCGTATCACTATGTGTCGTATCACTATGTGTCGTAGCACCATGTGTCGTAGCACTATGTGTCGTATCACTATGTGTCGTATCACTGAACAGATTTATTCCTTAACAGATTAATATATTAATAGATTGATAGATTAATTGATTTATATATTATAGATTCATAAACTTGAATAGATTTTTATTCTAGAACTAATGGATAAAACCATATATTACTGACCCCAATAATTGTTGTCTGTAAATTTCTTTGTAAAAGTGGCAAACAAAAACTCTAAAGTGAAGTGACAGATTTAGCTGTCAATGTTTCGAAACAACTGAATATTAGTTAATTCTGCTGATTGTTCAGTCTTACTTTGACATTTATAAATCTGAGTTTTTGGGGACCTGGGGAAGTCAGCGCTTCACTAGTCAAAGAAGTAAAGTAAGTAAAGTAAGTAAAACTAAAAGTTCCAAAAGAAGTGAAGAAAAAAGAAAAAGTCTGATCATCTCACTGTTCAATCATTCTCCACTGTGTGACAAATGCAGGAATATCTCATTATTCAGGAAAGTCTGGCACCACTGCAAACTTACCAAGACACGGCCGTCCTCCTCAACAGATGGGACAAGTACTACTGCTGAGTACTATTGCTGAGTACTGCTGAGTACTACTGCTGAGTGCTGCTGCTGAGTACTGCTGAGTACTACTACTGAATACTACTGCTAAGTACTACTGCTGCTGAGTACTGCTGAGTACTCCTGCTGATTACTACTGCTGAGTACTACTGCTGAGTACTACTGCTGAGTACTCCTGAGTACTACTGCTGAGTACTACCGCTGAATACTACTGCTGAATACTACTGCTGAGTACTACCGCTGAATGCTACTGCTGAATACTACTGCCGAGTATTGCTGCAAAGTACTACTGCTGCTGAGTACTACTGCTGAGTACTACTGCTGAATACTGCTGCTGAGTACTGCTGCTAAGTATTGCTGAGTACTACTGAGTACTACTGGTGAGTACTACTGCTGCTGAGTACTATTGATGAGTACTGCTGAGTACTACTGCTGAGTACTACTGAGTACTACTGCTGAGTACTTCTGCTGAGTACTACTGCTGATTAATACAATACAATACAATACAGTGTATTGTTGTATAGCCCTAGGTCACAACAGAAGTCATCTCAGAGACTTAACAAAACCATTGAAATCACCAACACAGGTCAGAGAATCAACAGTTAAAACACATGAAGAATATAAAGCACACACAGAAGAAAATGTCCATACATGTTGTAGAATGCTAAAGTGTCCTGATCATCACCAATCCTTTCTGTTGGACACTAACTGTCCAACAAGACCCTCCTGCATCCACAAGGAACAACTCTTAAAAAACCCAGTGGGAAAAAGTGAGAAACCTTGGGGAGAACTAGGGAAACCCACAGGGAGGGAGACCCATTTGAGAAAGGGATCCGCTCCTCCGGACGGACAGGCTAATGATCCAGGACCTAAGCTAATACTGCTGCTGAGAACTACTGTTGAGTACTGCTGCTGAGTACTGCTGCTGAGTACTGCTGCTGAGTACTGCTGCTGAGAACTACTGCTGAATACTACTGCTGCTGAGTACTATTGCTGAGTACTACTACTGAGAAGTACTTCTGCTGAGTACAGCTGCGGAGTACTAGTACTGAGTACTGCTGCTGAGTACTTCTGCTAGTGAGTACGGCTGCTGAGTACTGCTGCTGAGTACTGCTACTGAGTACTACTGCTGAGTCCTCTATCCATCCATCCATCCATGTTCTACCCTTTAATCCATTCCTGGGTCAGGGGGGTGGCAGTCAGAGATGCACCAGCCCCTCACTGACCCTCTGCAGGTGGTGAGTCCACAGGAGGACGGCTGCTCTGACTGTGAGCATAGCCTTGATCTTTCAGTGGGAGCTTTGGGCAAAGTGGGGTTAAGTGTCTTGCCCAAGGACACAACGACAGCAGTCATCAGTGGGAGTCGGGGGAGAAGGTGTAGAGGTGGGAATTGAACCCACGACCTTCCAATGCTCTACCAACTGAGCTACTGTCGCCTTCAGCTACTCAGCTACTGCTGAGTCCTACTGCTGAGTATTACTGCTGAGAAGTACTACTGCTGAGTACTAATGCGGAGAAGAACTGCTGCTGAGTACTGCTGCTGAGTACTACTGCTGAGAAGTGTCAGACTGTACATGGTTCAGGCCTATATGGGCGAATGGCAGAAGAAACCATCACTGAAAGGAACCATAAGAATTCCTGTTTGAAGCTTACCAGAAGTCGCATGTAGGACACAGCAACATGTGGGACTCAGCTACCATGTGGACACAGCTACCTTTTGGGACGCAGCACCATGTGGGACTCAGCTACCATGTGGACACAGCTACCTTTTGGGACGCAGCACCATGTGGGACTCAGCTACCATGTGGACACAGCTACCATGTGGACACAGCACCATGTGGGACTCAGCCACCATGTGGACACAGCTACCATGTGGACACAGCACCATGTGGACACAGCACCATGTGGGGCACAGCACCATGTGGGACACATGGTGCTGGTTCATATGGGACTAACATGTCACTAATATATTTTGGTGCGAGGCCATGGAGAGACTTGTAACAAGCAGAGCTGTTTTAAAGTCTATTCTCTGAGCCACAGGAAGCCGATGCAGAGACCTGAGGACTGGACTAATGTGGTCGTACTTCCTGGTTCTAGTCAGGACTAATGTGGTCGTACTTCCTGGTTCTAGTCAGGACTAATGTGGTCGTACTTCCTGGTTCTAGTCAGGACTAATGTGGTCGTACTTCCTGGTTCTAGTCAGGACTAATATGGTCGTACTTCCTGGTTCTAGTCAGGACTAATGTGGTCGTACTTCCTGGTTCTAGTCAGGACTCGAGCTGCTGCATTTTGAATGTACTGCAGCTGTTTTACAGCCTGTTTGGACAGACCTGTGAGCAGGCCATTGCAGTAGTCTAACCTACTGGAGACAAATGCATGGATAAGAATCTCCAAGTCTGCTTTAGACACTATGTTTTTGATCCTGGCAATGTTTTTTAGATGGTAAAAAGCTGCTGATGTTACTGATTTAATGTGGCTATTCGAATTTAAGTCTGAGTCCAGTATTACCCCTAGATTTCTGACCTTGTTTGAAGGTTTTAGGGAGAGAGACTGTAGATGACAGATGACGCTCTCTCTTTGTTTCTGGGGACCAAAGACAATCATTTCAGTCTTGTCTGCGTTTAGCTGAAGGAAGTTGTTTTGCATCCACTCACTGATCTGTTGGATACAGTGAAGGAGTGAGTCCACTGGTCCATGTTCTCCTGCAGTCAGTGAGACATAGATCTGAGTGTCGTCTGCATAGTTGTGATAGGAAACTTTGTTTCTGCGTATTAACTGACCTAACGGCAGCATGTAGAGATTGAACAGAAGAGGTCCCAGGATCGACCCCTGTGGGACTCCACAGGTCAGGGCCATATGATCTGAGACACAGTTTCCAATCTCCACAAAGTACTTCCTGTCCTCAAGGTAAGACCCAAACCAACTTAGGGCGGTGCCAGCGACGCCAACCCAGTCCTCTAGTCTCTGTAAGAGGATCTCATGGTCGACAGTGTCAAAGGCAGCACTCAGATCTAACAAAATTAAGCTTGAGACTTTGCCTGCGTCAGTGTTCAGCCGGACATCGTTTGTAACCTTAACGAGAGCAGTCTCAGTGCTGTGGTGGGGTCTAAAGCCGGACTGAAACATATCAAATGAGTTGTTGATTATAAGAAATCTAGTAAGCTGTAGGTAGACAACTTTCTCAAGGACTTTCCCCATAAATGGCAGATTTGAGATGGGACGATAGTTGTTAAGTACCGTAGCATCGAGACTGCTCTTTTTTAGCAGGGGCCTGATGACTGCAGTTTTCAGGGCCTTTGGGAATATTCCAGAATGAAGGGACATGTTTACTATCTGTGTGAGTGAAGGTAACAGACTGCTCAGAACAGACTTCAGAAATCTAGTGGGTAGTACATCCAGGCTGCATGTGGAGGAGCTCAGACTGGAGATTATCTCTTGGACAGTTTTATCATTTACAGGTGCAAAGTAAGTTAGCTCAGAGAGCCTTTCTGGCTGTTGGATTGTTATCTGTGGATTGGAGACAATGTCGTTTTTGATGCCTTGAACCTTGTCATTGAAAAAATGTGCAAACTCATTGCATTTACGTTTGGAAGTAAGCTCTAATGGCATTTGAACAGGGGGGTTTGTACCCTAACCTCCGGCACTCTCTCTTTTGTGCCCTGACCGAGTCTGCTTTAGCCCACGGCGCCTTCTGCTTATTTTTTACTATTTTAACCTTCACAGGGGCAACGGTTTCCAGAACATTCAAAACACTAGAGGTGACAGAGTTAAACAGTTCATCTACAGTAGAACACAATGCATTCTCAAAGTTTATCATTCCCATAAATAGTTCACTCGTATTTTCCTGAATTTTGGTCAAGCCATGTTTCAGCCATGAACATAAGATCAAGATTATGAGAACAAATAAAATTATTGATTAAAAAAGACTTGTTACAAAGAGATCTGACATTAAGCGTAGCACGTTTCAAAGTTTCAGTATCAGCGGTTGTGGTCGGCTGATTCTTACACGGAACAAGAATTAGATTTTCCAGATTAGACTGATTAACTCCAGATGTTTTTCTGTAATGTATTCTTTGTGTTATCACTAAGGGAATGGCACAGGTGGCTTCATGACAGGGCCCCAGCCGGGTCTCTCCTCTAACTAGACTGCCAGTGGCTGCGAAGCAGAGACCCTGTGCATCCTAGTGTTTAGAGAAAAGAGGGGAAGGGGAAGGCGGGGGAGGAGGATGGAGAGGTGGGTGGCTTTTGGGTGTTGAACGAGGGGGGCAGGGAGGTGGAGGGTTTTTTGGTGATGGGTTAGGGCCGGGGTGGGCTGAGGCAGAGGTTTTGGATGTTGAACGAGGGGGAAGTGGGGGTGGAATGGTCATGAGGTTAGGGGAGGGACTGGCTGAGGTGGTTTTTGTAGGTGAATTGGAAACCCTAGGTGGTTTTGGAGGTACATATGGGGAGTGGTTTAGAATGTTGGACAGGACTCTAGATCGAGCTAATATGGGTGTGAGAGGAATAGTCTTCATCGCCGATTTTATTAGCCCTGCAGAGTGTTCAGGTAGGTCTAACAGTGAAGGCGGGGATGAAAAACAAAGGGAGGTGTCCCCATTCTCTCTTGATGGAGTGGACGTGGCAGGGAGGACCCAAGACAGGTCCATGGGAGGTGGCGAGGGAGTCTTTGATGGAGGGGCAGGTGGTTGAGGAAACCCCAGCACAGGCCTGTCTGCTGTAGGCTGGGGTGAGGATGGGGGCTTCAGAGGCGCTGTAGATGAAGAAGGCGTGACTGCTTCGGAGCAGGCTGGGGATGAGGATGTTGGTGGTGGTGGACGTGCTGCTGGTGCTGCTACTGGTGATGATGCAGCTGCTGCTGGTGATGATGCAGCTGCTGCTGGTGATGATGCTGGTGATGATGCAGCTGCTACTGGTGATGATGCAGCTGCTACTGGTGATGATGCTGGTGATGATGCAGCTGCTGCTGGTGATGATGCTGGTGATGATGCAGCTGCTACTGGTGATGATGCAGCTGCTGCTGGTGATGATGCTGGTGATGATGCTCGTGATCCTCTTTTCAACCATCGACACCATTTTAAACCCTGATTTTAGCATGTCTCTTTTAACCCCCACAGACTCCCTCTGTGAGGATTTTGCAGTCCACTTCATGGGGAAGATAAATACAATCAGATGTAACATTTTATCCAACCGCACAACTGTTTTTAACACATCTGATTGTTTGTCTTCACCAGAGGAAACACTGGACAGTTTTGTCCTGGTTGATGCTGAGATGCTTGATAAAGTTTTCTCCTCAGTGAGGCCCACCACATGTCTTTTAGATCCAGTCCCCACTCCATTTTTTAAGTCACTTTATGAATCTTTTAGAGAGGAGCTTTTAAACCTGATGAATTGCTCTCTTCAGACTGGGGTCTTTCCTGCAGCCTTCAAAGCGGCTGTGGTGAGGCCCCTTCTGAAGAAGAGCAATTTGGATTTTAATGATTTTAACAACTACAGACCGGTATCCAACTTACCATTTTTAAGCAAAATTTTAGAAAAACTTGTTTTTACCCAGCTCAATGCCTTTTTAGATCAGCAGAAAATTTTAGAGAAATTTCAATCAGGATTTAGGGTGAACCACAGCACAGAGACTGCTCTTTTAAAGATTTTAAATGATTTTAGACTAAATTATAATTCTAAAAAGGTGACCGTGTTGGTTCTACTGGATCTTAGCGCTGCCTTCGACACAGTGGACCACACCATTCTTTTATCCCGCCTGAAACACCTCGGCCTCTCTGGTGCTGTCCACAAATGGTTCACTTCTTATTTAACAGACAGATCATTCATGGTAAGTTTGGATACCTGCTCCTCTCAGGTCCATAAAATCACATGTGGTGTGCCCCAGGGTTCCATTTTAGGTCCAGTCCTTTTTAACCTGTACATGCTCCCTCTTGGCGGTGTCGTCAGGAGACATGGAATTGACTTCCACAGTTATGCAGATGATACACAGCTGTACATCTCCATGTCTCCTGACGACACCAGGCCAATGGATGCTCTTTTTAACTGCATTTTAGACCTGAAATCCTGGATGGCAGAAAACTTTCTCCAGCTCAACCAGGACAAAACTGAGGTTTTAGTCATCGGCCCTGAGGCCCAGAGAGAGAAACTTTTACCGAAACTCCAATCACACTCTTTTAATCCATCATAACAAGTGAAAAACCTGGGCGTAATCTTTGACTCTGAGCTGACTTTTATTCCTCACATCAAGAACATCACAAAAATAGGTTTTTATCATTTAAAGAACATCGCCAGAGTCCGCCCCATTCTCTCTCGGGCCAACACGGAGACGCTGATGCATGCTTTTATCACCAGTCGCATTGACTACTGTAATGCCCTGCTCTCTGGTCTTCCCAAAAAGAACATTTCAGGTTTACAATTACTTCAAAACTCGGCCGCACGTGTCCTGACTAAGACCAGGGGGCGTGTCCTGACTAAGACCAGGGGGCGTGTCCTGACTAAGACCAGGGGGCGTGTCCTGACTAAGACCAGGGGGCGTGTCCTGACTAAGACCAGGGGGCGTGTCCTGACTAAGACCAGGGGGCGTGTCCTGACTAAGACCAGGGGGCGTGTCCTGACTAAGACCAGGGGGCGTGTCCTGACTAAGACCAGGGGGCGTGTCCTGACTAAGACCAGGGGGCGTGTCCTGACTAAGACCAGGGGGCGTGTCCTGACTAAGACCAGGGGCCGGGACCACATTACACCGGTCTTAAAATTGCTGCATTGGCTCCCCGTGTGTTTCAGGATCGATTTTAAGGTTCTTTTAATGGTTTTTAAATGTCTTAATGGTCTTGGGCCTTCTTATCTTTCAGATTTGCTTTTATCCTATGAGCCTTCCCGGCCCCTGCGCTCCTCCGGCAGCAGACTCCTAACCATCCCCAAAGTCAGGACACACACTCACAGTGAGGCATCTTTCCAGCACTACGGCCCCGTCTCTGGAACAGTCTGAGGAGGAGCTCAGGGCCGCAGAGAACGTTCATATTTTTAAGAGTAGGCTCAAGACGCACCTTTTTAGAGCAGCTTTTGATTAGTATTTATTATCTATTATTGCTTTTTAGTACATCTATTTATGTTTTTAGACGGATTATATTTTTATTTATTTTTATTATTTACTATTTTTAATTATTTATTGTATCTACCCATTTACTATTGTTATTATTAATATTAGGCAGCTGCCATTTTTCTTTTTATTGTCACATTTTATTGTTCTACTTTCTATTGTATTATTGTATTGTTTTAGTGACCCCAGTGTTTCCTCTGGAGGAGCCCTCTGCACTGAGAGCTGGGGTCTGCTGTGGCTTCGGGGGACTGGCTCTTGGATCCGGTGGGGGTCTGGGGCCTCCTCTCTCCTCTGGGTCCTATGGGGTCTGAGTCCTGGGCCTGGTGGGGTCTGGGGCCCCTCTCTCCTCTGGGTCCTATGGGGTCTGAGTCCTGGGCCTGGTGGGGTCTGGGGCCCCTCTCTCCTCTGGGTCCTATGGGGTCTGAGTCTTGGGCCTGGTGGGGTCTGGGGCCTCCTCTCTCCTCTGGGTCCTATGGGGTCTGAGTCCTGGGCCTGGTGGGGTCTGGGGCCCCTCTCTCCTCTGGGTCCTATGGGGTCTGACTCCTGGGCCTGGTGGGGTCTGGGGCCCCTCTCTCCTCTGGGTCCTATGGGGTCTGAGTCCTGGGCCTGGTGGGGTCTGGGGCCCCTCTCTCCTCTGGGTCCTGTGTCGTTCCCTGTGGCTGCAGCCGGCTCTCTGCTCCTGGTGCAGATGGCTCCTTGGATGACGCTTCTTCAGCCGGTTACATCTGCTCCCAGCCCCATGTCTTTTTATTGTTTTACCTATTTTACCTGATATGACTTTATACTTGTGTATATGTGTGTGTGTGTGTGTGTGTTCTTGTAATCATCACGTTGTGGGGACTGAAATCTGTTAACACAGTCACGCCATGGGGACCTGTTTCCTTAGGAGGACCAAAAACCAGGTCCCCATAAGGAAAACCATTTAGATGAATGGGGGAGCTGTTTAGAAGGTGCTGGGCAAAGTTTCAGAGATGGCCCTAAAGTGATGTTTAATGTGTGTGAAGAGGTTGCTCATTGGCGCCCCTGGTGGTAATGACTGGTAAGACACATTGGTTTCCACACACACTTTGCATATATAATTTGGTACCGCCCACTTCTTGGTCCCCAAGAGTTATGATCTTGGAATTGAGTGTTTTCAGCTTCTTTAAAATGCAACAGACTGGAAAGCACAATTTTGTATAATTTTAGAACAAATATTGTATATATGCAAGTTATTTAATAGCAACCAAGTTAGTGCTTATTAACTAATGTGGCCTGAATTGTATTATTATTATTATTATAATGTGATGAATATATTAGAGTGAATAGTATTTTTTTTTTATATATTTTTTGTACTATTACTGAGGCTATAAAGGCTAAATATAGCACAGTGTGCATTTCCATAATTACAATAATTTTTAAAAGTATTAGCTATTCCATGGTCAGGGTTAATATGGAGGGCGTGGCAGAAAGAGAAAGAGAGAGAGGGAGGATGAAGTAGATGCTATCCCTGGAAGAAGCCACACAATCCAAGGGGAGACAGGTGAGTGTGGATTTAATACAGACTAAACAGGGGGGTTAAACACCCAAAAGACTCAGCTGTGGCTTTAATGTACAAACTAATGCAACTAGTCCGCGCTAGCATCTGCAACTAGTCCGCGCTAGCATTAGCAGCTAGTCCGCGCTAGCATTAGTAGCTAGTCCGAGCTAGCATTTGCAGCTAGTTCCCCCTTGCATTAGCAGCTAGTCCGCGCTAGCATTAGCAGCTAGTCCGCGCTAGCATTAGTAGCTAGTCCGAGCTAGCATTTGCAGCTAGTTCCCCCTTGCATTAGCAGCTAGTCCGCGCTAGCATTAGCAGCTAGTCCGCGCTAGCATTAGCAGCTAGTCCGCGCTAGCATTAGCAGCTAGTCCGCGCTAGCATTAGCAGCTAGTCCGCGCTAGCATTAGCAGCTAGTCCGCGCTAGCATTAGCAGCTAGTCCGCGCTAGCATTAGCAGCTAGTCCGAGCTAGCATTTGCAGCTAGTTCCCCCTTGCATTAGCAGCTAGTCCGCGCTAGCATTAGCAGCTAGTCCGCGCTAGCATTAGCAGCTAGTCCGCGCTAGCATTAGCAGCTAGTCCGCGCTAGCATTAGCAGCTAGTCCGCGCTAGCATTAGCAGCTAGTCCGCGCTAGCACTGGCTACTTGCTTGGACGGCAGATTCTACCAAACAGCACGTGGGTCAATGTTCCCTTCTAATATCACATTCAGCTAGCTAACAGATGTCTTCTCGGTAAACGTGTGGTGACTGAATTATATAATTAGAGCTTCCTATGTACTAGAAGAAGCCTATATGTGAACTTTAATGTAAGTGAATAGAGCTAGCCTATTAGCGCCAATTATTGCTAACAGGCCAATGTCAGAGTAAACAGGCTGAAGAATCTGAGTACTCTTTGATGGTAGCTAAACTAAAGACTGCATCTGTTCAATGCTCATGCAAAACGTATCAACCGTGTAATAAGTACATATTCAGTGATTTACTTTGCATAGTTTCCCTTTTGAAGCGAGATTAGCTAAGATTTTAGTATACAACCTGTTAGCATTAGCAACTAGCTCGAATGGCAATCAACTCGTGTGAGGTACTTTCAAGTAGCAGCTAAAGTTTTCTCAGTACACATGCAGGGACTGAATTATATATTTAAAACTTCCTATTAAAATAGTAGTAGCCTATACTTACTAACAAGTAGTTGGCAGTTAAGTTTTATTTTAAGAATGAAGTGGGTCAAATGGCAGAGATATTTAATTTCTACAAGTAGAAGGTAAAAAGAAAAGCTACTGAAGTACTGGATGAATATATTACCTGAGTACTGACTAACTGTTGAGTGTAAAAGTTTGGCTTCTAATTATGTATTATTAAAGTATATTAGATATAGAGGACATTTGGATGGAAACAGCTGTATCATAACAGATTAGATAAATAAAAAAATAGTACAATTGTCTCAGAAAGTTATTAAAGTTGGAGAAATCAATAGCTATAATGTAATATTAGTGAAATCAAAATAATTCATTTTGTTGTTTCAGTTTTTGAAGATTTAAATGGCACCACGAATTAGCCCAGAAAAAGATGCCTTGCATCATGTCATTAACAAGTGTGACAAAACCAAATTGGATATAAAGTTCATTGATGCAGTAAAAGGTATGTCTATTGTCAGTTGTCATTTTCTTTATGAAAAATACTCAAAGTTTTCTTTATTTACAGGACGGGGTCTATTCGCATTAGGCCCTTTTGCCAAAGGAGAATTTGTTGCACAGTATCGAGGAGATTTCATTGATTGCAAAGAACTGGAAAGGCGGAAGAGAGTCTACCATCCATCCTGTGCAGTTTTCCTGTTCGAATTTAAGTGGAGAGGAAAAACATGGTGGTGAGAATTCACACTACAAACATTTCGCACAAAAAACCTAATTGCAATTTTTCAGACAGAAATTGTAATTGCAATCCTTTTTATACAAGGATGCACAATACCATACTGCTATCAGGCTCAAGATATTTTTAAAGATTTATTAGATATGACGGTGAAATAAGAATGGATTTATTTTATTTTTATTTATTTATTTATTTAAGCAGGGACAGTACATATTAATGTTAATATTTGCCCACAAAAGAATGCAGGGGGGCTGATTCAAGCCAATAAGATCCTGGTTTAGACCTGTTTACGCTCTATTCAGTCCTCCTCACAGCTTTATGATTTAGGAGTTGACATAGAGGATGACTTTAGGAGTTTCTTAAGTAAGCGCTCATGTTTTGAGTGCGCCGTTGGTGGCTGCATTGTTCTCGCATCCGCGCTCTCCGCTCATGTGGAGTCTCACGTGCACGTTTGCTCGCATGTGTCAGCCACCGCACTGCTTGTTCTAAACCAGGGGTGTCAAACTCATTTTGGCCCGGGGGCCAAATACAACCTAATTGGATCTCAACTGGGCCGGACCAGAAGATGTTCAACAAAAATACCCCAAAAAATAAATTACTAAGTCCAACTTTTTGTGCACATAAACACATGTAATTAAAAACATCCTCTAAAACACTGTCCTTTAATACTCGCACAGTTTTAACAATAAATCTGTTACAAATGTAAATGTAACAGTGAGTTTTTTATACTGCAAATAATGTAAAGGCATTAAACTATATTTATATTAATATTTGTTTGTTAGCTTTGTTTTATAGCTCATTACAGAGAAAACTTGCTCACAAAGGTAAAGTAGGTAGATAGAAAAAAGCACTTAAACACAGCACCTCAGCTTAACCATCTTCAGTGTGGTTAGGTCCATGATGGCTTTGTCACAACACCTGCCTTTAACTCTCACTTTGCGGTGCAATGCTATTGCTATGTTGTTAGCACTCAGGTAGCTTGTCATTGCCGCAGCATCACTGACCTCTCGCTGTGGGCACAAACCGGTAGATCCATGGCACAAACAGACTGGTGTTTCCTCAGGGCTGGACATATTTATCTTCTCAATTCTCCGCTCAAAGTGCTGTATTTTTGGCTGAGTCAGTCACAGAACGCGCTCTGGTGGAGCCACTACAGACGCACTCGACTTGCTGCTGGCTGTGGCGCGGATGTTTAAAATGTTTTCATTAGTATTATTATATTTTTACAAAAGTGAGCCGCGGGCTGTGTCAAATCTCTTGGCTGGACGCATGAACGATACCCCTGTTCTAAACCAAGTCTAAAACAGTCTTGCGTGTGTCAAACATCACACGTGACGACTCCCCTTGCAAAGTGGTTGAGCAGAAACTGTGGCGCATCACACAGGTGCCCGGGTGGGGGCTAGTATCGGTTCCTGGTATTGGGTCATATTATCGAGTAAGAGTACTGATGCCAGTATCGGCGCCTATATCAGTATTGGTGCATCCCTAGCTACAATAGGAATGTCAATTCTATTGACATCCATTTGCTAGGGATACAATCCCTAGCAAATATAATTTTGCCCTTTATAACCAATATTATTGTATTATTGTCCCAGCTCTCGTATTGTCAGCAAAATATACTTCTAAAGCGAAAAACAAATCTCAGTCTTTGGGGTTTGATAATTGTAGTATTTAAAATTGCGATGCCAATTGGATATTGATTAATTGTGCAAGCCCAGTATTGTAGGCTGTGCAAAAGTAAACAAACTGGATACAATTGGCTGTCTCTGTATTATATGATTTTAATTTATTATTTATTTATATATATATATATATATATATAATCATATATTATTTAAGTTTTGAGTATGTAAGCATGGGGATTGTAGCACAATATACTGTATGTACTATATTTGTGTTTAAAGCCTTTTCTATATTTTCAGCATTGATGCATCAGTAGAAGATGGCACATTTGGGCGTATCGTTAATGATGACCACATCCACCCAAATTGTAAGATGAAAAGAATTGACTTCGAGGGGAAGCCACACTTGTGCCTGTTTACATTACGTGACATAAAAGAAGGAGAAGAACTCACATATGATTATGGAGGGGATGACTGCCCATGGAGAGAAAAAGTAAGTTGTAAACCCACGATTAAAATAATTGCTTATTGCTAACCTAATACGAAAAGTGCCCTTCAGATACTGCTGTTGACTTGAATTTTGTTTGAAACTTCGTTTTATTGGTCCCCATCAAGAATGAATGGAAGTGTGTGAAATGGCTTCCTCTGGTGGTTCAATTGATTTTAAATTGTTTGAATGTTTTAGTAATGGCTTTGAGCTAGGAGTTTTCTGCTGTAGACATGGCTTTAGGTAGACTTCAGGGAGACTAGTTTAGACCTTTATAGATCTCACAGTGGACATGTTTGTAAAGTTTATCTCATCTTATTTAATGGTGATCCAGAACTATATTTCAGTATTTTAAAACATAGGGCTTGTTCTGAAAATTGGGAGCACTGTTTTAGACTTTTAGATTATTAAAGTGTTCTATTGTAAATTCTTACACCTTCTGTCTCCCACAGATGACCCACGTGACAGCAGATGGTACTACTACACGTTTTCTAGAGCACCCTGACCAGCCTCAGTCCCACATGAATACCTCATTTGGAAACGATGCCTCTCAGAAACAGGTAGGATCACATTTATCAATAATGACAACGTTTTTTGTCTTCAAATGTTAAAAATCTTTCTCAAATGTTTCTTTCAAATGAACTGTACAATGTCCCATAATACACTTTGAGTGACTTCTGTTGGGTTTAATCATGTGTGAAAGTCCATAGAATTGGTCCCCATAAAGAAGGAACAGAGAGGGGTGTGAAAAGGTCCTCATGAGACTTGTCCCCGACCCTAGATGTGTGTGTGTGCAAACAAGTTGGTTTTACATCGGTCAAACTATGATGTGTGTACAGCTGGTAGTACTTGGGCCTCCTTGGGTGGTTCTATTGACTTTAATTTGTGATCACGGTTTAAGATCCTGACTATTTTAGTGTTCTATTGTAAAGTCTTAACTTCTGTCTCCCACAGATGACCCACGTGACAGCAGATGGTACTACTACAGGTTTTCTAGAGCAGTCTGACAAGCCTCAGTCCCACATGAATACCTCATTTGGAAACGATTCCTCTCAGAAACAGGTAGGATTACATTTATCAATCATGACAAAATACCAAAATGTCTTGTTAGTTCTGAGAAAGTTTTTTTTCACATTTAAAGACAATTATTTGAGGTTTTGTTATGTGTACCTCAATAAACTATATCCAGTATGTGGATTAGTGGAAGGAGAATAATTTGAGCCTTTTTTGGTCATGGCAGACAAGGACTTTTTACTCAAATGTTTCTTTCAAATGAACCGTTACGATGTCCCCATAATACACTTTGAGTGACTTCTGTTGGGTTTAATCATGTGTGAAAGTCCATAGAATTGGTCCCCATAAAGAAGGAACAGAGAGGGGTGTGAAAAGGTCCTCATGAGACTTGTCCCCGACCCTAGATGTGTGTGTGTGCAAACAAGTTGGTTTTACATCGGTCAAACTATGATGTGTGTACAGCTGGTAGTACTTGGGCCTCCTTGGGTGGTTCTATTGACTTTAATTTGTGATCACGGTTTAAGATCCTGACTATTTTAGTGTTCTATTGTAAAGTCTTAACTTCTGTCTCCCACAGATGACCCACGTGACAGCAGATGGTACTACTACAGGTTTTCTAGAGCAGTCTGACAAGCCTCAGTCCCACATGAATACCTCATTTGGAAACGATTCCTCTCAGAAACAGGTAGGATTACATTTATCAATCATGACAAAATACCAAAATGTCTTGTTAGTTCTGAGAAAGTTTTTTTTCACATTTAAAGACAATTATTTGAGGTTTTGTTATGTGTACCTCAATAAACTATATCCAGTATGTGGATTAGTGGAAGGAGAATAATTTGAGCCTTTTTTGGTCATGGCAGACAAGGACTTTTTACTCAAATGTTTCTTTCAAATGAACCGTTACGATGTCCCCATAATACACTTTGAGTGACTTCTGTTGGGTTTAATCATGTGTGAAAGTCCATAGAATTGGTCCCCATAAAGAAGGAACAGAGAGGGGTGTGAAAAGGTCCTCATGAGACTTGTCCCCGACCCTAGATGTGTGTGTGTGCAAACAAGTTGGTTTTACATCGGTCAAACTATGATGTGTGTACAGCTGGTAGTACTTGGGCCTCCTTGGGTGGTTCTATTGACTTTAATTTGTGATCACGGTTTAAGATCCTGACTATTTTAGTGTTCTATTGTAAAGTCTTATCTTCTGTCTCCCACAGATGACCCACGTGACAGCAGATGGTACTACTACAGGTTTTCTAGAGCAGTGTGACAAGCCCCAGTCCCACATGAATACCTCATTTGGAAACGATTCCTCTCAGAAACAGGTAGGATCACATTTATCAATCATGACAAAATACCAAAATGTCTTGTTAGTTCTGAGAAAGTTTTTTTTCACATTTAAAGACAATTATTTGAGGTTTTGTTATGTGTACCTCAATAAACTATATCCAGTATGTGGATTAGTGGAAGGAGAATAATTTGAGCCTTTTTTGGTCATGGCAGACAAGGACTTTTTACTCAAATGTTTCTTTCAAATGAACCGTTACGATGTCCCCATAATACACTTTGAGTGACTTCTGTTGGGTTTAATCATGTGTGAAAGTCCATAGAATTGGTCCCCATAAAGAAGGAATGGTGAGGGGTGTGAAAAGGTCCTCATGAGACTTGTCCCCGACCCTAGATGTGTGTGTGTGCAAACAAGTTGGTTTTACATCGGTCAAACTATGATGTGTGTACAGCTGGTAGTACTTGGGCCTCCTTGGGTGGTTCTATTGACTTTAATTTGTGATCACGGTTTAAGATCCTGACTATTTTAGAGTTCTATTGTAAAGTCTTATCTTCTGTCTCCCACAGATGACCCACGTGACAGCAGATGGTACTACTACAGGTTTTCTAGAGCAGTCTGACAAGCCTCAGTCCCACATGAATACCTCATTTGGAAACGATTCCTCTCAGAAACAGGTACGATCACATTTATCAATCATGACAAAATACCAAAATGTCTTGTTAGTTCCGAGGTTTTTTTTCACATTTAAAGACAATTATTTGAGGTTTTGTTATGTGTACCTCAATAAACTATATCCAGTATGTGGATTAGTGGAAGGAGAATAATTTGAGGCGTTTTTGGTCATGGCAGACAAGGACTTTTTACTCTAATGTTTCTTTCAAATGAACCGTTACAATGTCCCCATAATACACTTTGAGTGACTTCTGTTGGGTTTAATCATGTGTGAAAGTCCATAGAATTGGTCCCCATAAAGAAGGAACAGAGAGGGGTGTGAAAAGGTCCTCATGAGACTTGTCCCCGACCCTAGATGTGTGTGTGTGCAAACAAGTTGGTTTTACATCGGTCAAACTATGATGTGTGTACAGCTGGTAGTACTTGGGCCTCCTTGGGTGGTTCTATTGACTTTAATTTGTGATCACGGTTTAAGATCCTGACTATTTTAGTGTTCTATTGTAAAGTCTTAACTTCTGTCTCCCACAGATGACCCACGTGACAGCAGATGGTACTACTACAGGTTTTCTAGAGCAGTCTGACAAGCCTCAGTCCCACATGAATACCTCATTTGGAAACGATTCCTCTCAGAAACAGGTAGGATTACATTTATCAATCATGACAAAATACCAAAATGTCTTGTTAGTTCTGAGAAAGTTTTTTTTCACATTTAAAGACAATTATTTGAGGTTTTGTTATGTGTACCTCAATAAACTATATCCAGTATGTGGATTAGTGGAAGGAGAATAATTTTGAGCCTTTTTTGGTCATGGCAGACAAGGACTTTTTACTCAAATGTTTTTGTTTCTTTCAAATGAACCGTTACGATGTCCCCATAATACACTTTGAGTGACTTCTGTTGGGTTTAATCATGTGTGAAAGTCCATAGAATTGGTCCCCATAAAGAAGGAACACAGAGATGGGTGTGAAAAGGTCCTCATGAGACTTGTCCCCGACCCTAGATGTGTGTGTGTGCAAACAAGTTGGTTTTACATCGGTCAAACTATGATGTGTGTACAGCTGGTAGTACTTGGGCCTCCTTGGGTGGTTCTATTGACTTTAATTTGTGATCACGGTTTAAGATCCTGACTATTTTAGTGTTCTATTGTAAAGTCTTATCTTCTGTCTCCCACAGATGACCCACGTGACAGCAGATGGTACTACTACAGGTTTTCTAGAGCAGTGTGACAAGCCCCAGTCCCACATGAATACCTCATTTGGAAACGATTCCTCTCAGAAACAGGTAGGATCACATTTATCAATCATGACAAAATACCAAAATGTCTTGTTAGTTCTGAGAAAGTTTTTTTTCACATTTAAAGACAATTATTTGAGGTTTTGTTATGTGTACCTCAATAAACTATATCCAGTATGTGGATTAGTGGAAGGAGAATAATTTGAGCCTTTTTTGGTCATGGCAGACAAGGACTTTTTACTCAAATGTTTCTTTCAAATGAACCGTTACGATGTCCCCATAATACACTTTGAGTGACTTCTGTTGGGTTTAATCATGTGTGAAAGTCCATAGAATTGGTCCCCATAAAGAAGGAATGGTGAGGGGTGTGAAAAGGTCCTCATGAGACTTGTCCCCGACCCTAGATGTGTGTGTGTGCAAACAAGTTGGTTTTACATCGGTCAAACTATGATGTGTGTACAGCTGGTAGTACTTGGGCCTCCTTGGGTGGTTCTATTGACTTTAATTTGTGATCACGGTTTAAGATCCTGACTATTTTAGAGTTCTATTGTAAAGTCTTATCTTCTGTCTCCCACAGATGACCCACGTGACAGCAGATGGTACTACTACAGGTTTTCTAGAGCAGTCTGACAAGCCTCAGTCCCACATGAATACCTCATTTGGAAACGATTCCTCTCAGAAACAGGTACGATCACATTTATCAATCATGACAAAATACCAAAATGTCTTGTTAGTTCCGAGGTTTTTTTTCACATTTAAAGACAATTATTTGAGGTTTTGTTATGTGTACCTCAATAAACTATATCCAGTATGTGGATTAGTGGAAGGAGAATAATTTGAGGCGTTTTTGGTCATGGCAGACAAGGACTTTTTACTCTAATGTTTCTTTCAAATGAACCGTTACAATGTCCCCATAATACACTTTGAGTGACTTCTGTTGGGTTTAATCATGTGTGAAAGTCCATAGAATTGGTCCCCATAAAGAAGGAATGGTGAGGGGTGTGAAAAGGTCCTCATGAGACTTGTCCCCGACCCTAGATGTGTGTGTGTGCAAACAAGTTGGTTTTACATCGGTCAAACTATGATGTGTGTACAGCTGGTAGTACTTGGGCCTCCTTGGGTGGTTCTATTGACTTTAATTTGTGATCACGGTTTAAGATCCTGACTATTTTAGTGTTCTATTGTAAAGTCTTATCTTCTGTCTCCCACAGATGACCCACGTGACAGCAGATGGTACTACTACAGGTTTTCTAGAGCAGTCTGACAAGCCTCAGTCCCACATGAATACCTCATTTGGAAACGATTCCTCTCAGAAACAGGTAGGATCACATTTATCAATCATGACAAAATACCAAAATGTCTTGTTAGTTCTGAGAGTTTTTTTCACATTTAAAGACAATTATTTGAGGTTTTGTTATGTGTACCTCAATAAACTATATCCAGTATGTGGATTAGTGGAAGGAGAATAATTTTAGCCTTTTTTGCTCATGGCAGACAAGGACTTTTTCACATTTATCAATAATGACAACGTTTTTTGTCTTCAAATGTTACAAATCTTTCTCAAATGTTTCTTTCAAATGAACCGTTACGATGTCCCATAATACACTTTGAGTGACTTCTGTTGGGTTTAATCATGTGTGAAAGTCCTTAGAATTGGTCCCCATAAAGAAGGAACAGAGATGGGTGTGAAAAGGTCCTCATGAGACTTGTCCCTGACCCTAGATGTGTGTGTGTGCAAACAAGCTGTTTGTCAATAAATATTAAAAATCTTTCTTTTAACTGACAATTATATGAGTCATTAAAGTACTACTTCAGTAAGTGGGATAGTGGAAGGAGAATATTGTCTTTCTTTGGTCAGTGACTGCAGTTGAGTTGAATCGTGTGAAAGTCTATTGAATTTGTCCCCATAAAGGAGGAATGGTGAGGGGTGTGAAAAGGTCCTCATGAGACTTGTCCCTGACCCTAGATGTGTGTTAGTTTGCAGGTTTTTTTTGTGTTGTCTGTTTATAATAGTTTTTTATCTACAGATTCTTACACAGCCCACATGGGAAGTTGATTCTGTACCAAAACTGAGGAGGACAAAAAGTATCATAGTAAGTGACATTTACCTATGAACATTGACCTATGAACACATCCAATGAAGTTGGATATGTGCCAATTCGTTTATTTTGTAATTATTTCTATTTCTCTGCATTGCATTCAGATTGTTTTTGTTTACTTTTTTAGTATTTTTAGTTATTCACATGTTTTTCTTTTCTTGTTTTATTCAGATGAAAGACACAAATCATTTCGACTCTGATGAGTTATATGATTCTACAACAGACAGTTCAGACAACTATGTCCCAGATACCACATCTGGTTCAGAAAGCGACAGTGATCTTCCTTTATCACGAAACAAATTGAGAAGCAAATTTTATGATGAACTCAATCTTGATTATCCTGACCCTGCAAACAATCTTGAATGTGACTCCACAACTTTGGACAATATGCCAAGTCTTTCAGCTGAAACATCTGCTGGCGTTGAACCCAATTCAAGTCAGGCCACTACAGATATTGTTGTTAAGGCATACAACAAAAAGGGTGTACGAAGAATATATGACAAAAGACATTATTGCTTTTACTGCTCCAAGCCTTATGCAAAAATGGCAAGGCATCTAGAAAAATCACATGTGGATAAATCTGACGTGGCTCGTGCTGTAAGCTTTCCAAAGGGATCCAAAGAGAGAAAATACCAACTTGATTATATTCGCAATAGAGGAAACTATGCTCACAATGCTGCTGTCATGGAATCTGGATCAGGAGAACTAGTCCCATTCAAACGGCCGCAGAAAAACTTGCAAGGTGAAGATTTCATGCATTGTGCATACTGTCAAGGACTCTTTACAAGAAAGGTACTGTGGAGACACATCCGTAATTGTAGGCTTAAACCACAGTCCGTTCGTCCTAAACCAGGAAAAAACCGTGTCCAGGCCATGTGTACCTACACTGGGCCTGTGCCTTTAAACATGACCAAACAACTGTGGGAAGTTATCAGTGTCATGAATCCTGGTCTGTTTAGATTAAATTAAAAAGATCATTTACATCACATCCCAATTTCCACTAAATGTATTTTGCCAACAATTCCATAACTTCCAATCCGGTTTTGATTCCGACTTTAATAAACACAAAAAAACCGCTGACCTTTTCTCGTAAAAAGCAGGCTTAAGTTAAACTTACCGGCACGTCTAAAACACAAGTGTTGGAACTCCTCCTACTCCTCCTCTTCTCTCCTCTCCAGTCTGATGGGCACACAGAGGCGGTGCCAGCGGGAGAGCCGTGGTAAGTGAACCAGGGGCTGTCACCGGGGGCTCTGGATGGGCTTTGCCACCCAAGAGGAGAGGTGTAATTTGGGTGCGCGCTGGGTGCAAAAGCCAGAGTGAAGGCTCCGGTGCTGCTATTGATGTTTCTGTGGTCACACGAACGACCATGAGATACGGTGTTTGGGGAAGGTGGTGGGGAAGGTTGTGGGGAAGGTGGCGATGCACAGACGAGGACGAAGGGCAACACTTTATTTGGCTCAGTTTAAAAAGAATGTATTTGCCCAAGTTGACTGTTGCTGCTCTTATTTAACACCCTGCCTTTTTCGGTTGTTGGAGCAGAGAGGGGGTATTTGATGGAAAGTGGCAGCACATAAACAGGTATAGCTCATATTTGAATCTATCAAGTTCGCCCGACCCCTTGACGTTGATGAAATTTTGAAAGTGGTAATCAGCGAAAAGGCAAAAGCTAAAGGCGAGCAGGTGTGACTTGCCTTTGCTCATAACGGAGACCCCAATCGCCATTAGACCCCAAAATGGCTTGACGGCGGTATCAGGGGGCTGCTTGCCATTATGTATTTTTAATCAGAGTTGTTACATCTGTGACTGGATGCCCGTTTTACTCACAGCTGCCTCTGGTGGCATACATGTCATGTTTGGAGCTGTGGAATTACCATCGTGTCTTCTGTCCAGTAGCCACACATCCCCAGCGTGTCAAGCCTCTACCTGCCTCTCGCGGGATTTCTGGGAAGAGGAAAAACCTGCTGGGAATAGAAACACAAGTTGACAGCACAGAGATCACAATGTCTCAGGAGAGATGATGAAGCAGGGAGGAAACTGAAATAAGTCTAGGAAAATAAACAAAACACAATGACTGGAACCTTTAGTCAGTTTCACAGCTAACAGGGGTTAATGGAATCAGACTGACATTCTTATTGAAGAAAGCACACTGCAAAAAAAATTCTCAAATATGAGGTAATAACTGACTTGAATTCGAGTCGGTATGCCGAATTTGATGTACATTTCTGAAAGAACTTAAAACAAGACTGTTATTTCAAGGAACTATTTGCTTTCTCGTTCCATGGGGTGACAATTTCTTGTTATGTTTTTTAGTTGCCGTCCAACAATAAAAAAATTGTAAGCCCAATTTCATTTTACTCAAAAGGATATCGCAAATCTATATAAATTTTCTTTTGTCCTTGATATTATCCCTTGTCAACGTGGGGATTAAAAATAAAATAGTGGTTTTTGTATGAAAGCGCGATGCAAACTGATCATTCAATTAATGCTGTCAATAAAACAGATGTATAACAAGTATAATATGCGTAACAAAGGGCCCTTTTCCAACTTATTCTTTCTAAGGGATCAAATCAGGGTCTAACGTTTGTTTCTTAGTTGGCCTTATCCATCGTTACCACTCCAACTCAATCATCATTTCACTGGCTGCTAACGTCTGGGTCTGTGCCTGGGTTTGCGATTACAATCGGCTGATTTTCGGGACGACCAATCATAGAGAGCGGGGAGGCTGAGTTTTAGTTACTGTAGATGTGGGTGAAGTCAAGAGTTTGCGTCGAACGGGAAGTGTTGTAGTTTTGTATGGGCCAAAAAGCGATAGTAATAGTAATCGGTCTGGATTATCAAGAAAATGAAGCCGGAGCAAGGGGAATGTTTAGCTCAATGTACTCACTGGAAAAAAAATTATGGCGCTACCCCCACGGGCTCAGTTAGCAGCAAAGGCGCTGGCAAAGCTAGGCTAAATGCCTCACTTCACTGGCTCAGTACATAGTCACGGCTTAAACTCGCAGATCCCCAATGTTTCAATCTTGCAACAGTGAGTTAGCCCCTCCACCTGTTCACGGAGTCAATGGAGCACCTCCAGACCTTAGTATGAAATGTAACTTGTACTATGGTGTGGTCGACCAGGCTCGTTTGTTCTTAGTGGTGCCTCTCCATATGTCTTATCCGTAAGAACGCGGCTGAGGAGAGAGCCGTGGTGTAGTCTATGGAGTGGATGTGCTTTGGTGATAACTGTAGCTAGCTGCCCATTGGACACACTAGATAACTTTGTGTCTTGTCGATCAAACTCTGGAAACTTTTGAAACTAAACTTTTCATTCAGTTTGTTAACATCAAATTCTTGGGAATTTAGCATTAGACACAAAGCAGTTGTTTCTTTCACAGCGGGACGAGAGGCAAGGGAACACCAAAACCGAACACTAGTGGAGGGTGGGGGTGGTTTCAGTTCCGGTTTCTGTTTCTTACCGACAGTGGCCAAAAACAAAAACCATAAGTAAAGTTGGTCACGCAAATTAATCGACATTTTATAAAAAAACACGGCAGGTAATAATTTTTTTGAGAGTTAAAAACGCAATTTTTTGTACAGCAATGATCTCGCTTCTCAGCAGAAGGTCCTGGGTTCGAATCCCGGTCGGAACAGGGCCTTTTCTGAGTGGACTTTGATGTTTCTCCCCGTGTCTGCGCTAGGTTTCTCCGGGTGCTCTCGGTTTCCACTACCCACTGAAAATAACCATGCACAATATGGTCTGAATGTAAATGAGAGAGTGATAAATGATGGTGTTGGAGCTGATTTTTGGACCAGTGTGTTCTGGACTCGCTTCTGTCATCACCGTGTGTGGAGAGGATTGGAACAATATCTGACTTGGGAACAGTGATAAAGTGCTGTGGGTCGATACCGTGTCGGTGAAATGTGCTATATAAATAAACACATTAAGCACAGATTTCACAGACCAAGGTATGACCCAAAGCAATTTCAATGTTCAGCGTCAGATATTTGTTCCATCCTTCCACACACGGTGTGACAGCAAGCCGAGCTCCAGAACCCACACTCTGGTCCATCAGCTCCAACACCATCATTCACTCTCTCATTTACATTCAGACCTTTTGTGCATGTTTTCAGTGTAGGGGAAAGCCGGAGCACCCGGAGGAAACCTACGCAGACACGGGTTAGGTGGAACATGCAAAGTCACTCAAGAAAGGCCCTGTTTTTTGCCTCGACCGGGATTCGAAACCCAGGACCTTCTAGCTGAGAAGCGAGTCTCCAGGGTCTGTACAAATATATTGCTGTTTTTAACTCGTCAAAAAAATTATTAACGCCCGTGTTTTTTTTTAATTTGTTGGCGATTAATTTGCGGTGACAACTTTACTTATTGTTTGGTTTTTGGCCTCACTGTCCGGTTTGAAACAATAAGAAACAGAAACGGATACTGAAACCACCCCAACCTCCACTAGTGTTCGGTTTGTTGTTGCCCGTTGCTGCTTCGCCGTGTGAAAGAAACCAACTGCTTTTGTCCTAATGCTAATAACCGAATTTGATGTTAACAAACTGAATGAAAATGTTTAGGTTTCAAAGGTTTCCAGAGTTTGATCGACAAAGAACCGAAGTTATCTGTGTGATCATGGTGAGCTAGCCTTCCAAGTTATCCACCAAATGCACATCCCAATCATAGGACTACACACGGTCTCCTCCTAGTGCCGCGTTCGTTACGGAGTAAGACATTGGATAGCTACCACTAAGAACATATAGCCTGGTTCGTACCACACCATTGTACCAAGTTACACTTTCAGACGGAAGGTCTGGGGAGGTGGGCTCCATTGAAACTTCCTGTGATACAGGTGGGAGGGGCTCTAATCACCTTTTGCAGATTGAAACGATTGGATCTGAGTTTACCGTGACGTATGTAGATGATCCGGAGTGAGTGAGGGCTTTTAGCCTAGCTTTCGCCATCTCCTTTGCTGCTAACGGAAGACCGTGGGGGGGGTTAGCGCCATAATGTTTTTCCGGATACATTTGCTAAAAATTTCTCTTGCTCCGGCTTCCAGATTCGTGGATAGAACCAGACGGATTATTCTTACTATCGCATTTTTTTGCCATTACCAAACTTCAACCTTCCGTTCGACGGCAAACTCGTGACGGGGTCACCCAAATCTACAGTAACTACCAACTCCCGCCTCCCGCATGCTCTATGATGTTGGTCGGACGAACTGTCAGCCGATGGTAATCGCAAACCCAGGGCCCAGACCAGACGTTACATGCAGTGAAATGATTGATTGAGTGAGGTGACGGATGGATAAGGCCCCGACTAGAACAAAACTGTTAGAACCCCCTGTTTTGATCCCCTTAGATAGAATAGTTGAATCGGCCTTCTTTGTACCATTTATGACTTGTTCAGACATACTGTTTATTGACAGCATTTAATTGTATGACATTTTGCTCGCGCTTTTCAATACAAAAACCACTTCCACGTTGACAAGGATATTTAAGGGACATAAAGAATTTATTTAGATTTTCGATTATTTGAAGTGCCACAGTCCAGCAAACTGTAATAGGAATTGGTGGATTACTATGCTTTTTATTGTTGGACGGCACTAAAAAACATACACGAAATGTCTCCTTGGAACGAGGGGAAATGCAAATTAGTTCTTGAATGTATGCCAGTCTGTGTTTTTATTGTCTTTCAGATGTACTCAATTTAGGAAATACCACTCCGATTCAAGCTGTTATTACTCTCTTATTTTTGAGAATTTTTTTGCCAGTGTGCTTTCTTCAATAAGAGGTCTGTCTGATCCACTTAACCCTTGTTAGCGGTGAAATTACTAAAGGTTGTCAGTCATTGTGGTTTTTGTTTTATTTTCCTTAGACTATTTCTGTTTCTCCTTGGCTTCATCATTCCCCTCTCTGTAGACTGTGTGATCTCTGTGGCTGTCAACTTGTGTTTCTCTTTCCTGCAGCTTTTTCCTCTTCCCAGAATCCCGCTGTGAGGCAGGTAGAGGCCATGGACTCGCTGGGGATGTGTGGTAAGGGACAGTAGGGAGACACTCGATGGTATATTCACAGTCGCAAAATGACATGTGCCAACCAGAGGCAGCTGTGAGTAAAACGGGCGTTCCAAATCACAGATGCATAACAACTCTGATTCAAAAATACATAAGGTGCAAGCAGCCCCCCTGATACCGCCGTCAAGCCATTTTGGGTTCTAATTGCGTTGGTCTCCGTTAGTGATCAAAGGCAAGTCACACCTGCTTCGCCCTTTAGCTTTCATTTCGCTGATTACCTTTCCACAAAAAAATTTCATCAACGTCACCTTGATAGATTCAGAATTATGAGTACAACTGTTACTGCTGGGCCACATCCATCAAATCCCTCCTTCCTGTCTCAACTAAGCAGAAAAAGTCAGGGTGATGTTAAATAAGAGGCAGCAACCAGCAACTTGGCAAATGACATCTTTAAACTGAGCAATAATGGGTTGCCCTCGGCCTCGTCTGTGCATTCGCCACCTTCCCCACAACCCTTCCCCACCACCTTTCCCCACACCTGAACTCTCTGGCGTTTCGTGCTTGTGAGCCACAAACGGACACCAAAACATCAATAGGGCCGAGCACCGAGCCTTCCACTTGGGCTTCTGCACCCAGCGCTCTCCCTCAATTTACACCTCTCCTCTCTGGTGGCCAAAGCCCATCCCAGAGCCCCCCGGTGACAGCCCCTCTCACTAACCACGCTCTCTCCCACGCTGGCAGACGCTCTGTGGTGCCCTACAGACTGGAGGAGGTGAGATAGAGGCGGATGGGAGGAGTGCCTAACACTGTGTTTAGGGACGGAGCCGTGTACTTAAGCCTGCTTTTTACGAGGGGGGAAAAGGTCATGCTGTTTTTGTGTTTTTTTTTAAAGTCTGGTAATCAAACGATTGGAGTTGTATGGTAATTTGTTTGCAAAATACATTTAGAATGTGAAATGGGGTGTGATGTAAATGATCTTTGGTAACATTATCAAGCAGCCTAATCCTGCTTATTCCAAAGTGTGTTTTTAAATGTCGTAACATACATTGTCATAAAAAAAATATCAGAAGTGCACTTTTAACCTTGAGAACCTCCAGAAAGGTTTCATCCAAAGTCACTACGGCCGAAGAAGATGAGAAATTATTATCTATTTATGAAAAACAATTACAATAATTGTTTAATTGTTTGTAGCTTGATGTTTTAATGCTTTGTATGAGTCACTATAGTGTGGATATCGTCCAAGTATGTCGCGTCACGTTGACGCCCATTAAATAATCTTGAAGTGAGTTTATGTGGACAGACATATAGAAAAATATCAAGTATTTTATTTTGTCTATCCATCTCCAAGTTTTCAAGTAGCGAAACGTACCTTGATTACGGCCATTCCAGGTTTCCCTTGTACTTCCTGATGGTGGGCCAGCTGGCAGAAAGCAGCAGATAGATTAGCAGCAGAAAGCAGCTGAATGGGTGGCTCCGAGCAGCGTGGTCTTCCAAAAGCCCTGACGTTGCTTGAAACGGCGTTCTTTGTAACTTCGCCCTGTTTAAACATCCTGACCCGGATTAAAGTTGAGAGTAAATGCTTTGCGGGGCACAGTTATGATTGACGCGGAGTGATGGTTTTTAATAAAGCGTGCAGTGGTAGCAGACTGACAAAATGGCTGGGCTGACACACAGGGGGAAATTGCAGTTAATGGCATAAGGTATGTGCTGTGCTGGCGCTTATTCGCATTCCACTGGCCGGTGCACACGCATATCGAACGCGATAGACATACAGCCGTGGGCTAGAGGGGGTGCACCGGAACACACGATGAAGCCTATTTGCCACTACCTGAGTCAATCAAGAGCCTTTGTTTTTACCGACTTGGAATTTAATTATGGTTTCATGGAGGGCGCAAAAAAAAAAAGGGGGGTGGTTGGTTCGCTCTGTATTTGAGTTTGTTCGACCATCAGATGTTCCTTTGGACCATTGAGGACTACAGATCCATTTCCGGTTACAGAAGTAACTAATGCTCATTGTGATATTGATTTTTTAGTGTTCTATATGGTAGATGCCCTCTCGGGTAGCTCCACTGGGATGTTAATGGGTAAGGTACCAATCTTTTAGTTTAATGTTTTCAGAAACCCATAGAGCAGTGAAGCAACAATAATACATGCAAAGGGACCCAAATTGACCTTATAGTTGTTTTTTGCTCAAGTGTGTGAATGAAGACACCCTGGGAAGCAGATGCTACGGGTGGGCAACTTGTTTTTGCTGGAAAATAAGTCGACAAAACAAAACGGTTATTGAGACAAAGGACAATGACCTTCTTTTTTGTATACAATTACATGAACCATTACTTGCAATCGATCATTATAGACAAGTGGGAAGCAAGTATACAAGTGTGGTTTTGGTTAGCTGGTCGTACCCACACCCATAGTACAAATTTCAGTTTTGTGCTAAGGTCTGGAGTCGCTCCATTTGGACTCCAGTGAATAAGGTCGGGGAGGTGGTTAACTCCTTTTGCAGATTGTTGATAAACGATTGGATCTGTGTTTACGTGAGTTATGTAGTGCGCCGAGTGAAGTGGTTAGCATTTAGCTAGCTTTAGCCATCTCCTCTTTGCCGCAACGGAGCCCGTGGGGAGTTTAGTTAGCGCACAATTTTTGGTTCCAGCGATTACATTTGTAATACATTCTATTGACTCCGGGCTTTCAGGTTTCTTGATAGACCAGGACGGATTATCTTTACTATCGCATTTTTCGCTCCCCATTACTCAAGAACAACAACCTGCTCCGTTCGACGCAAACTCTCGAACCGTCACCCACCTCAAACACCCCCGCCTCCCGACGCTCTCTGATAGGTTCGGTCCGAATATTCAAACCGATTGTAATCGCTAACACCTGGGACCAGACCAGCACAGTTACATGCGTTCACTTAGAGAGTACCCTAAGAGGGAACCAATGCAGTTAGAAGTTTGTTTGATTGGATGTATGTTTGGCGCCTCTGGCCGGAGGCGATGCTTGTTGACGTGCGGCGCTTGCTCGGCGCGCAGTAATCCCCAAAAACGGGCAAGAGGTATCTTTGCCGCGCCGGGAGTGAGACGCTCGCTTCACCGATCCACCGGACGCTGTCTGGGACGTGAGCGCTCGCATCACGATCCTGGTACAGCGCTGCGGTTTTGGAGTATCTTTAAGCCCGGGACGTGATTGCGCTCGCATCACGATCGATACCAGACGCTGTTCAGCAGAGTTATCGTTGAGCGCGCGGGACGTGAGCGCTCGCATCTACGATATCAACCGGAACGCTGCCCTTAGCTTCGGGGGACGTGAGCGCTCGCATCAAGATCGGTACCAGTCAAGCTTGTAGCAGAGTTATCTTTAGAAGTTGCGTGCCGCCACCAGAAATCCTATTGGTTCCACCTTTATTGCTTTGTATAGCTTTTGCTGGGAGCTTACGACGAAGCTGTAGCCGTTTGTGCCGCCAGGGATGGGGGGTAGCGTTGGCCTGATGTAGGCGGAGGAAAGCTCGAAGAGGGACCAGCACCCAGCGGTTGAGAAAGGTTATGTGGGGGAGCCCAGCCGATTGGTCGCGCGCGTCGGGCGGGCCTCAGCTTGTCTGTCCGAAGGAGTGGGCAGTGTAGAAGGCTGGGGGAGACAATTTACAGAGGAAGCAGTCTAGGGATCCTTTTTTGAGCTCCTGAACCAGGTTGCCTTGTCATGGGTAAAGAATGTCTGGAGTGAGGAAAAGACAGGTCCGTTTAATAAAAGCTCCCTTTTGGCAAACGGTGGCGCGTGCTAACTGCATCATGGATTGTGAGGGGTTAGAGAGATGTGTCTCGAGACGGTGCTTTTTACTATATTGCAGGCTCTTTGATTTATGAATGTTTGAGTCGGAGGTTGAAAAATGGTCAGGGGACATTATGTTGGTGAAAAGAAGAGCGACCTTTGTTTAATTGCTTCTTACGTCGAGATTATTCCACACTGGACGAGATCCTCTGCTTGGCCACGTGTGATCCATGGCAGCGGCGCTGACTCCGGCTCATTTCCAAGTACATGTTTTCTGCCCTCCTCGCAGCATCTTTGCTCGCCTTCGTATGGCTTCTCTGCATAAGCGTCTCACCATGTCACTCAACCTTTCATGCGGCCGAGACACGGTCTTTCCCGACCATCCTACTATCTGATTATCTACTCTCCAATCCCCCAGATTCTAAGCTAGGGCGCCTGCAACATCAATGGCCCTCTCCGACCATGTCTCTGCCCTTACAGGTCCTCCGCTTTCTACCGGACGCTTGCCCCTCCGTGCGGGTTTTGGCGGGATTATTCCAGGCCCATTTGGTTTGCCGGCGTGGCCACTACTTTTCCACCGGAAGCAGTTCCTCTACCTACACGAGATATCCCAGTGGTCGGGCCTCCGTGCGCGCCGTGGAATCACACGTGGCAGAGAATGAGGATCTTCTGTCATGTGGGATAATCTCGAGCGTAGTGGACGCAGTAAACAAAGGTCGCTCTTTTTCACCCCCCCCACATAATGTCCCCTGACCATTTCAAACCTCCCGTCTCAACACATTCAAAAACTCAAGTGAGCCTGCAATATAAGGTAATTCGCTCGCCTCGGACAAATCTACTTGACCCTACAAGAATCCTGATGCGTTACACTCGCCTCCGTTTGCAAAAAGGATGATTTTAACGGACCTGTCTTTCTCACTCCAGGACATTCTTCCCAGTGACAGCAAACCTGGTTCAGAGCTCAACTAAGATCCCTACTCTTCTCTGTACATTGTCTCCCCAGCTCTACACAGGCCCACTCCTTCAGGATAGGCGCGCCCCCGCGCGCGACCTCGCTGGAGCTCCCCCCACACCTTTCTGCAACAGCTGGGGTGCTGGTCCTCTTCAGCTTTCTCCGCAACATCAGGTCCAGACGCGTCCGCATCTGGTGCCTCTTACACAACGGCTTTACGGCTTCTTCGTAAGTCCCCAGCCAAAGCAATACAAAGCAAAGTAAGTGAACCAATAGGATTTTCTGTGAGCGGCCACGCTCTTCTAAAGTATAACTCTGCTACAGCGTTGGTACCGATCGTGATGCGAGCGCTCACGTCCCAGGCAGCGTCGGTTGATCGTGAGGCGAGCGCTCCACGTCCCGGCGCTCAAAGATTACTAATGCTCTACAGCGTCTGTATCGATCGTGATGCGATGCGCGACACGTTCCCGGTGCTTTAAGATGACGCCACCGCAGCGTCCTTTGGTTCCGATCCGTGAGCGAAGCGTCACGTCCCCGACCAGGTCGGTTGATCGTGAAGCGTAGCGCTCACGTCCCGGCGCGCAAAGATAACTCTGCCGTTTTTAGGGATTTATGCGGCGCGAGCTCTAAGCGCCGCACTCACGCATCTCTCCCGGGCTAAGGCAGGCGCCAACCATACTCAATCAACAAACTTCTAAATGCATTTTTTCCCTCTTGGGTCTCTCCAAAGTGAAACTGCATCGTAACGTCTGGGTTGGTCCCTGTGTTAGCGAATTACAATCGGTTGAATATCGATGTCGCTTCCGACCTATCATGAGAGCGCGGGGAGGCGCGGTGTGTCTGTGGGTGACGGGAGAGTTTGCCGTCGAACGGGCAGGTTGGTGTTTGGAATGGCGAAATGCGATAGTAAAGTAATCCGGTCTGGTTATATCAAGAAACTGAAGTCGGAGCGAAAGAGGAAGGTTTAGCAAATGTAATCGCTGGAAAAAATGGTGGCGCTCCTCCCCACCGGGGCCTCCTGTTAGCGGCAAAAGGAGATGGCTAAAGCTAGGCTAAATGTAACC